TTGGTTTAACGATTACACACCAACGTACACACTGTGTGATTACAACAGAAGCCCCTGCAGCAATGAACAAATCACTTCTCTCAATTCTGGATCATCCCTTTGATTAATTCTCCCCACTGACACTGTCAATTTTTTTAAATTAATTTATTTTTGACTGCCTTGGGTCTTCGTTGCTGCATGCAGGCTTTCTCTAGTTGCGGCGAACGGGGGTTTCTCTTCGTTGCAGTGCCCGGGCTTCTCATTGCGGTGGCTTCTTTTGTTGCGGAGCACGGGCCCTAGGGCGCAGGCTCAGTAGTTGTGGCGCACGGGCTTAGTTGCTCCGCGGCATGTGGGACCTTCCCGGACCAGGGCTCGAACCGTGTCCCCTGCATTGGCAGGCGGATTCTTAACCACGGTGCCACCAGGGAAGCCGACACTGTCAATTTTTAAGTGGTTTACAAAGCTTATAAAACCATGTCAGAGTAATCTTCAACTTTGATAAAAATCAAAACATCTTTCAATTCTAACCTTGCAAATTCGAATGTTGTAAAACAAAGGTCAGCCCCTTATCCACCTCACCCTGTCCTCAGTAACACTGCTGTTTCATCCAGATCCGGGAAACCACACTGCCGCCCAGGACACTGCTGCAACCGCTCAGTTATTTGGCTCTTCCTCTAGAATCAAGTATGTTTTCACATTTCAGAGTGGACTCAGTGCATTTTTACAGTCGCAACCGAAGTTTTACACAAAATATAAGTATCTGAAAGAATTGGCGAGTTTCTGTAATCATATGAACAGAACTAAAATATGAGAGGCTCTTTGTAAATAGTAATCGTTTTCGAGCGAATACACTGGAACATCGTTAGGAACACCTGTTTTCGGCTTTCCTTTGCCGGGCAAGGAGGTCAATTTGTAAACACTGGAGAGGATTCCACAAACGGTAACCTGATGTGAGGCTTATTTTCAGCAAAGTGACGGTGGAGCACGAGAACATGGAGGACCCCCTCCCCCCAGCCCCAGGATCGCTTCAGGAAGCCCCGGAGTTACGAAAGAATTTGGTGTTTTCCTCTTTAGAAAACGGGTGGACGTGAGCTACCAGCCAAACTAGGCTTGCAGGCCGGGCGCCGCGGAGGGAGCGAGGCGGGCGGTTGAGTCACGATCGCCGCGGCCACGCACACCTGAGCTTCGGAGGATAAAAGGCGGCACCTGGGACGAAACACCCAGGCCCTCCAACCTTCGCCCTCTGCCCAGGCCTAAGGGAGTGGGGAGGAAAAGCAACTTCTTTCTCAAGACTCGACGACGGGCGTCCCCAAGGAACGGAAGGGGCAGAGAGAAACCCCCGAGAGTTCCCCCGCCCGGAGCGGGAACTCGTGCGGGAACGCGGCCTCGGGAGCCGCAACGCCGCTGCCGAACAAGCGGGGGAGGGGGACCAACCGCCATCTTCCTCGAGCGCCCAAACCGACAAAGCGCGAGACAGCAGCAGAGCTTCGCCGCCGCGGCCCGCCCACTTTCGCGAGCCCGCGAAGGCCTCTGGGAAAAGCGGGGGAGGGGAAAGCAAGAGAAGGAAGCCGGGATGCAGGGCTGGAGGCGGGCCGAGGCGGCGAGCGGAGCCTCAGGAAGCAGAAGGGGCGGGGAAAGACGCGACTGACGCGAAATGCTGGCCAATGATGAGCGAGCTCGGGTGGACGGCCAGCCAATGGGCTGTGCGGCCTGGCGCGGGGGGCGGGCGCTGGGGCCGAGGGTAGCTTGAGCGCGGCGGCGGCGTTGTTCAGTCACAGCGAGAACATTCCAGAGGTGAGTCCGGTGGAGGGGCGGAAGCCCCAGGCCCGGTCCCCCGTTCTCCCCGCACCCTCGACCTCCGCGGGTCGCTGGCTGGCGGGGAAGGCGCCCCGACGCCCGCGGCTCACTGCGCCTTCTCTCCGCGCCAGGTCGCCAGGCCCCGGGCGCTGAAGGGTGTGGACCCCGGACGTCGCTGGGACAGCCCCTCCCCGCTGCTCGGCGGCGCCTGGCCCGGCCGCTGCTCGCTGCGCTGCCTCCGACGCCTCCACCGCCGCTCCTCGGACTCGGGTTCGCGCGCGCCTCACTTCATCCCAGTCCCGGGCGAGCAGCGTTGGGTTTATGTCTTTATTTGACGAAAACGGTGAGTCGGCGGGCCGGCGGGGAGATGGCGGCCGCACAAGATGGCGGCGCGCCGCGTGACCCGCGCGCTCGCGCTTGTGTGTGTGAGCGCGCGTGTGTGGCGCAGTTTGGGCGGGTGGGCGGCGGGGCCGGGCGCCGCGTCCCCTCCTGTCCTCACACCGCCCCCCGCCCCCGCCTGTACCCCACCCCCACCTGTACCCCACCCCGGCCTCGCGGGAGCGCGCCGCGCGGGCCCGCCGCCGCCCGGGGCTGACTCAGGCCTAATTGCTGCATTCCTGAGTCATCGCCGCGGCGGGGCGGGGGCGGCCGGGCCGGCGGCCCTCGGCCGGTTTCGCTTCCCCCGCCGGGCGGCGCACATGGCGGGGCTGCCGCGGGCGCCGGAGAAGCTGGCGACGTTGCGCCTCCGCCGCTCCCGCCTCAGCCCTGACAGCCCGGGAGCGAAGGTTGCGGGTGCGTGTGCGTAGAGAAGAGGAAGGGACGGGAGGTCGGGGCCGGGCGTCCGCGCACGCTCCGCTGCGTCCCGCGAGGCCGTGTTCCGTGGGTGTAGTTGGGGACGGGTGGCTCTGGAGGAAGCCCTGGTTGCCGAAGGCGCGGCTTGAGTGTGAAGAACAGTTGTACAGACTTTCGTCGTCGAGGGATGTATCACAAGTTTGTTGGCAAGGACTGGGTTGGGGAGAGGAGAGGCCTGTCTCTGTTCGTTCCACGGCGGTCGTTAAAACACGGCTCGGCCGAAGCCGACCGTTGACGCGGTGACTGGTCGGATAAAAACCCAGAGCAGCTGAAGCGCCGTAGTTGGTGGTCGTTTTAGTCTGGTGTCTCCCAGAATCACATCTGCGTCCAAATGGTGGCCTTTTATGTTGCTGCAGGTGTCCCGTGTTACGTGAGTCTGAGAACTGGTTTTTGCGTAACACAGATGCTTTTAACGTTGGAGCCTTAGGCGTGATTAAACGGAAAGGACAGGGAGGTGTCTTAATGCAGGAATCGCGTTAAACGTGGGGGATTTGTTTGTTCTTCCTCCTCTTTTTCAGAGCTGTTGCGCAGCCATTGGTACCTGTATTGGGGAAACATAGCATACAAGCAAGAAGCTTACAGCCTCAGTGGCGAAAAATTTTTCATGTCAGAGACCGAGAACTCTTGCAGTCGTTTATGTCATCCCTTCTTCTCCAGACAGAGGATACCAAAAAGTTGCAATCAAAGATCTCTTCATCTTATTGATAAAGCCACTAATAAGCCAAAATGTCTGTCAACGTCAACCGCAGCGTGTCAGACCAGTTCTATCGCTACAAGATGCCCCGTCTGATTGCCAAGGTAATGTTCATGTTCATTTTAGTAGCAAGTCCTAAGTTTTTTTTCATAGATTATTGAAGATTGCTTCTCCCGGGGTAGACGCGCAAAATTAAACTTCTTACTTCCTTTAGGTTGAGGGCAAAGGAAATGGAATCAAGACAGTTATAGTCAACATGGTTGACGTAGCCAAAGCGCTTAATCGGCCTCCAACGTGTAAGTAATGCCTCTTGAAAGAAGTCTAAAGAGGCATTTTATTGACACAAACGTGATAATTTCTGGTCTGCAAAATCTTGCCTGAATTGTATGTTGGTTAACTTCTGGGTCGAGTGGAAATTTGGGCTTAAAACTCATTGATGTGTTAGTTGTTACTAGTATAAAAAACTATCTGGGCAACACATTTTTTGAACCTAGCAACTTAAAAATACAGAGTGATATTTGTATAAATGAGGGTGAGCAGCCAAAGCTTAATTTAGTTAACTCTAATGAACAGGTTTTCTTCCCCCAAATAGATCCCACCAAATATTTTGGTTGTGAACTGGGAGCACAGACCCAGTTTGATGTTAAGAATGACCGTTACATTGTCAATGGATCTCATGAGGCGAATAAGCTGCAAGACATGTTGGATGGATTCATTAAAAAATTTGTTCTCTGTCCTGAGTGTGAGAATCCTGAAACGGATCTGGTGAGTGTCTTTGAGGTTTTTGTCAGTAAAAGAAAAAACTGTATGTTTCTGTGATGTCAGCAAATTATGTTCCCGGGAAGGCAGAGCAAACATCAAATTTTGCAGGTATTTCCATACTGATTTCATGTTAAAAAAAAGAAATTATTTTGATATTAGACTTGTGTTTTAGATGCCTCTTGATGGTTAGATCCTTTCATATTTTGTTCGTCACAGAATTTTCATCATATATTATGGTTGACGTAACTTATTTTTGCTTTTTTGGCAGCATGTCAATCCAAAGAAACAAACAATAGGTAATTCTTGTAAAGCCTGTGGCTATCGAGGCATGCTTGACACACATCATAAACTCTGCACATTCATTCTCAAAAACCCACCTGGTAAGTGCTTATGATCACTTCTAAAACCTTGGCGTAAAGCACCTAATAGTTGGAAACAATGGAAGTTTCTTTATTGCTGTAAAACTGGAGTGAGGTTGACCTTTGAATACCTGCACAAGTGAAAATTTGCCTATAACAATAGGGTCAGCCTTCTACATCCAAGGTTCAACCAGCCATGGATGGTGTGAAACTGTAGTGTGTACTTGTTGAGGAAAAAAAAACTCCATGTAAATGGACCTGTGCGGTTTAAACCTGTGTTGTCCAAAGGTCAACTGTTGAAGAAATTTCTAGTCATTGTGCCGTATTTTACTGAATTTTGAACTTTTTTGTTAAATGTACTGTTTTATGTATCGTTAAAGGTGAAGTACCGGCTGCCAATTAAACTCTACCACATTCTCGGTTTTCAAGACCTGTCTTAGGATGTATGAAATACTGTAAAGCAAATTGTAATGGGATCTTAGTAAAGGATCGACTTCTGGAAAACTTTTGTAAATGTGGGTCTTTGCTCATTGAGCTAAAGTGGTTTTAGAGCCTGCAAGCAACACTCTGTGGCAGATGATCAAAACTCTGGCACAATTTGAGCTTGCTACAGCAAGAAAGCCTAACCTGTTCCGCTGTTCTCGTCTCCGCGAGACAAGCCGTTATACAGGCTTAAACAGTGTTCCAGCTGTTGGCTAAAGTGCAGTTAAGAAATACCCTTATTTAAGTTCATGATGGATGGAAGGAGAGGGTCGTGAGTGCCACTTTAACTACCTGGTCTTCTGAGGTATTACCGCTCAGTCTTAATTTTACCCAGTAGTTAATACCACTGATAGGTAGGGGCATTCCATTCTCAGCTTGAGTTGCTTACCTGTGAAATACAGTGGATGAATTTGATTTGTGAATTCATTTAGAATTATAGGTAGCATTCTGTGTGTGGTTTTCTGAGGGGAGGGTTTCAAAGCAAAAGGGCAAGATTTTAAATGTTGACGATGGGTGATGAGGTGTAATATAAGTTACGGTACTAAACTTTATTTCCTTTTTGTCCTTGTAGAGAATAGTGACAGTGGTACAGGAAAGAAAGAGAAGGAAAAGAAAAATAGAAAGGGCAAAGACAAGGAAAATGGTTCCATGTCCAGCAGTGAGACACCACCACCACCACCACCCAGTGAAATCAGTCCTCCGCATGCTGTGGTCAGTGCAAGGTTGATGGGTGTGGTGGGCACTGAAGTTGTGTATAGTGTGACCTTTGGTTGAGGTGAGCAGAAATGAACTGCTCTTAGTGAACAATACATCAGTATATTTGGTTCCAGGTGCTATTCGTTGACTAAACTAATGTGAACACAAGTTTAGTGGGAAGTTGATGTTGTTGACTAGAAATCTGGGATTTCTTTTTATTACCTATGAGGTCGTTTTTTTTGGCCAAGCAGTTTTGTTTTTAAAAACAGGAAGAAGAGGAAGATGATGACTGGGGGGAGGATACAACAGAGGAAGCTCAAAGGCGAAGAATGGACGAAATCAGTGACCACGCGAAAGTTTTAACCCTCAGTGATGATTTGGAAAGGACTGTTGAAGAGCGTGTCAATATCCTGTTTGATTTTGTTAAGGTGAAATGCTTGCTTCAAGAACAGTTAAACATTTCGTGATCATACTAAATCAGCTTCTACCCATCCCTGAGCTTTGTTAGATATTACTTTAAGCTGGGTACTTGGCAGGTAGTTTGTTGTGTTTTTTCCATGCTTCCTTTTGAAATACTCAAATACAAGTCTCACCTTTACTTCTTCTATTTGTTCAGAAATTTTTTTGAGGGTGGTTCCAGGCATTGTCTTCGGCAGGTGTGTATTATTTAGAAGTCCTAGAACCTTCTTGAATTAGGTAGGGGAAGAGTTCGTAAGAGCAGGGACTATGGTATCTCTAGAGCAAAATGTGCTTCCATTTCACTGAATTGCTTCCTTTTATTTGCAGAAAAAGAAAGAAGAGGGTGTTATTGACTCATCTGACAAGGAAATTGTAGCTGAAGCAGAAAGACTGGATGTAAAAGCCATGGGCCCTCTTGTTTTGACTGAAGTTCTTTTTAATGAGAAAATTAGAGAGCAAATTAAGAAATACAGGCGCCATTTCTTACGAGTAAGCAAATCATTCTAGATTCATAAGATTTTACAGCTGTGTGACCTTGGAAATACTGATTTAACCTCGTTTATTTGTACTGTCATCCTGAAAATGGAGATAATTGATCTACCTTAACAGGAATGGGAGTACCTGGAAATTGGTGCATGTAGTCCCTTACACGTAAAGTAAATTAGAGATGTTTAAGCGTTGATCTCTCTGAACGACTGCTGTAGCACCATGGCTTCAAAGAACAATTTCTAAGGCAATAAGTTTATTTAGAACATATATTAGAATTGTCAACTTAGAACATCTAAGAAAGCTTGTTAATGCTGAGATATTTATTTGCAGTTTTGTCACAACAACAAAAAAGCTCAACGGTACCTTCTTCATGGCTTGGAGTGTGTGGTAGCAATGCATCAAGCTCAGCTCATCTCCAAGATTCCACATATCTTGAAGGAGATGTATGATGCAGACCTTTTGGAGGAAGAAGTCATCATTAGCTGGTCAGAAAAGGTGGGGAATATTTAAATGGCTCTTTAAGATTAGAAGTATTGGGGCTTTTTTGGAAGAAGTAGTTAACTACTAATATCTAGTCTGTACATGCTTGGCTGGTATAACCTGTAGGGTGATTCTCATCATGGTAGCTTTCTAGTAAGGTTTCTAGAAAACCTTGTGCTGAATACATTTATTCGGCTGAGGGGTCAAGATTAGGATGTGGCCCAGTCCCCTCCAAGAGATGTATTTGGGCAATTATATAAATGACTCGCATTATTTTAAATTCCTTGAACTAAGAAAATTATACTGAACACTTTTTAGGCCTCTAAGAAATATGTCTCAAAAGAACTTGCCAAAGAGATTCGTGTCAAAGCGGAACCTTTTATAAAATGGTTGAAGGAAGCAGAGGAAGAATCTTCCGGTGGTGAAGATGATGAAGATGAGAACATTGAGGTAAACGCTGGGGAAATCGTTAAACACAGTGTTAGTGGTGGGTGTTTGAGAATTATGAAATGCCAGCATTGGGTAATACAGCCTCTTAATTTGGAAAGTAATCACATTAGTAGAAAAGGTGCTGGAAATCTCTCCTACCCCCAGACATTGATTCCAAATAAACATTGTCTGAATTTCCAAAGGGAGAGTTTATTTAACGTAAGTATAGGGTTGATCGTCCATAAAAATAAGGTACTGTTAGGCTGCAGAGGGTTAACTTACTTTTTACATACACACAAATTTTCATGAAGAATAATGGCTTTCTCTAGGTAGTTTTTGTCCTTTGTTGACCATTGACTTCGTAGTGGTTTTATTTTACAAGGGTTTACTGGGATAAAGGTTTACAATCAAAAATCTTCATTTTATCAGGTGGTGTATTCAAAGACTGCCAGTGTACCGAAAGTTGAAGCTGTAAAGTCTGACAACAAGGACGATGACATTGATATTGATGCCATTTAAAGGGGTGGGTGCAGCCCAGCTTAACAGTGTAATGCTGAGAATCTTTCTGCATCATCAGCCAGAAGTGCAACATGTATGTGCAAAAGCTAAAATGGCTTAACGTCATGCTACACTTTCTACTAAAAATGTATTGCTGTGAGTGGTCTGTATTTAAACCCAACAAGACATCTAGGGAGTCCATACACATATCAGTGAGCAGAGTAGTTTGCTTATTTACAGCATGTTTCTTTTTGAAAATTTAGTGGTGGACACATTTGGGTCACATTTATACAGTTATAAAAATAAAGATTTGATTTTGGTCGTTCTTCAGATTTTTGGCTCTGAATGACTTAAGTAAGCTGAAATAATTGGCTCCTTTAAAAAATGTTGCACCATCATCTAATCTGATAGGATTATTGGAGCCTGTTAGTACTTTTAAGTCTTACTTCTAGTCCCTCAGATTGGCATCTGGTAATGTACATTCTTCCCATGCCAAGATGGACTGATAATCAAATGACAGTGCAACACCTTTAACTTACTGAGATGTTAAAATGACCTGGGTGTCCTCTAAATAATTTTAAGAACAGGTTTTGAAACTTGAATTGTGTATTTTTTTTTCATTTTTTTCTATACTTGCCCCAAATTGTAGTCTTTGAAGTCATGTGCATTGCACGTTGGATGAGCCAGGGGAATTACTACATTAACATAAACATTTTATTATGTGTATGTAGCTCTTGCTTTATATTGAGAGAAAACTGAAACTTTGGGGAGTGATAAGTAAGCTCTACGATTTTATTTGGGGGAAGCAGGAAAAGGTACACTTAATCTCTAGCAAAAACAGCAAAATTTTTCAATCAATTTTACTCTTGATTCAAATTACAATTTCAAAATATTTAGACATACTGTATCTTTTGTTCATTGTGGATTTTTCCCCTGATAAACTGGTTCTTTGATGACTTCTGCATTTGGATACATAGCTTATACTTTTTTGGTTTTTGTTGCTATCTTGCCAAAACAAGTGTTAACTATATCTCAGATTCCCCCCACCCCCCCAAAATGTCTTATTTTTTAAAAAAGCTAAAAGCATACTTCTAAGAGCCTATATTTTGGTGTAAGACTTGGGGTGTTTTTTATTTTCACAATGAATAGTGTGAGATACCCGGGAAGTCTGTGATGATGGCAATTGAAAGCAGGTGACTAGGGCCTGACCCAGCCCATCCTGGGCTTTAGGTTTGGAAATAACTTCTTGTGATTTGCTTGCCCAATTTGCTGATGTAAACTCACTTGATAGAAGGGCTTATGACTACATCTGAGAAATCATCTTGAGGATGCAAATTTACACAAAAAGTACACTGGGAATCAAAATGCGTGGAGAGTACTGGCTTATATCATTCACCTCTTTGTGATCCATCTCACAGATTACAATGAGACCTTAACAAATGTATGTAAGTTTTTTTCACATTGAAATTATATGAACATTTGGTATAATAAAACTTTGTTAGCTTGGTATTTTAAGAAATTAAACCCTGGCAGTCTTACTGGAGAGGTACAAATTGGTCTCCAGCTGCCTTTCTTGATAGATTTTGATGAGATTGAAGGAGAGCCATATACCTACCTGGAGGGGAATGTGCTTTGTCGCACCAAAGAGAAGAGGTTTTTGCAAATTCATGTCTCACCTAGGTTTTAAATTTTTGCCATTATCTGGAATTGTTCTGGGGGGATCAAGTTGCATTCAGCATACCCATTATCAAGCTAATGAGGTTCTGTTATAGAGGGTTTTTTTCCCCTTTTTATTCCTCCCCCACCCCCTTAAATCTGAAGGAAAACTTACAAGGCTTCTAAACACTAAAGAGAAAATTTTGGCTTAGACCACTCTTCAGTCTAGTGCCAAACTTTCAGTGGAATTCAAATCCACAGAGTAAGGAGTTTATTCATAGCAGCTATCCTAATAGAGTGATCTTTCACTTTGCTGTATTCAACTGTCTTAAAACTTCCTGTTTGAAACAGCTATGTTATGTGATTAAAACAACGTTAAAATTATTTTTTGTCTCTGCTTTAATATTAACCTAAAGTTTTGTTTTTAAAATTGAAGCATTGAAATCTCCCCTTTTTTGTAGCTGTTGCTTCAGATTTGTGTTGGATGTTTC